AAAATTTTTCGAACAAGAAGCAAAAAGCGTAGATGTGAATACTTTGAAGAAACTAATTGCTAAGATTTCAGTTCGCTGCACTCCGTCATTTAAAATTTGTAATTCACGTGATATACAATCCGATTTGGTTCGAAAAAATGGTACCACGAAAGAGACCCTAATCTCCCGATTCGTTTAATAATTATTAGGTAAGTATATACTTATTTGATCTTTTTTACGATGTTCGAGACATTTCTAAGTCTGCCGCTTTCAGAAATTTTTATATTAAACTTTTATCACATTAATGAATATTTTTTATAATCGGTATATTTCTACCAATTTAATCGCTCGATTTGCTTCCAATCCTCATACACAACGTAGAGGTTTTTCACTTCAATTAGATTTGGTTCATAAGAAAAACCCTTCGTTTCTCACGCATTTGCAAACATTTCTTTTTCCATACATATACTTTTCCCCACATTTTATTTGTACGAATGCGTAGAGCGGACATAACTCGAAATTAAGGTTTGCTTCGATTTACAACGCGAAATTAGGCTTAACTTCGAATTATGACTCAAGTTTAAAAATAACTTACGGGTTATTAATCAACACTTCAATTAATTTCGATTTGAGGCCCAGGCCCCGTCAGGTATAACTATACGGGTCGTCTCTATCTTTTGAAGCGTTGCTAACTACAATAGTAACGAAAGGGGAAGGATTTTGTTATATTCGACGAGTGAAGAAAGTTCTTAGAACGTATGTCTCATTCCTTACTTAAAGTACTTGCATTGTTTAGGTTATACATTATACATTTTAATCCCGTCTGTAAAGATGGTAACGGCGTACCTACATATATACAGGGTGACAATTTGAAAACTTACCACCCCCCATATTTTAGTAAATAAACGAGATATTTAAAAAAATCAAAATCCGTTTCGGTAATTTGGAGGGGGAATCACAATGACATAGTTGGCGACGCACCCCCTCCAACCCCCTGCGCCCCAGCCACCCCAACTTTTAAATCTTAAATAGTGACCACCCATGTGTGATACGTCGTTGGAAAGCTCTGAAAAAATGCTTTCCAACCATACCAAATAGCATTACATTTAGGGTAGTAATTATCGTGCAAATCAAAAAATAAACTAATATGATACATTTGAAATCTGTCGTATTTAAAACGCAACCGGCGAACATAGACGAACTAAGACAGAATAATTCAAGAATGTCGAAATATTGCAAAACCAACATTTGAAAGGGGGAATATCGCCATATCCCAGAGGTTGTGTGCGAAGAGGTAAAAACCCAAAGGAGGGACACCAATTATGCTTCTTTCAAAATTACCATCGACTTCATAAAGTTAGAGAAGGTCATGACCGTCAACTTTTGGCCTCAGGGAATCCTTGTCAAACGTTTTTTTCACCCGCGCCCCCAGTTACCGACGGTCAAATGATCATACCTTCAAACTCGACTACCGTTAACAAACACGCTAAGGACTCTGGATCCTTAAATGTTTTCCACATCAACATGCAGTGTTTAAGGAACAAGCTATGCTCGTTAGAGGCGTTTCTGCAGGGCAAAAATCTTGACGCTATCTGTATCAGTGAACATTGGTTCTGTGGCGATAACGCAGTAAGTACAATGACAATTGGTCGTTTTCGTGTTGGTAGCTACTTTTTTAGAACTAATGCAACCCATGGGGGTGTATTGATACTAGTTAAAGAACATCTTAAATTCAAACCACTTATAGGCTTGTTGGCGACTACTCCACTGACTTTCACTTTGAAGCGTGCGGGGTACAATTAAACTGCGGCACGGTAATTATTTGCCTATACCGCTCACCGCGGGGAGATTTCAACATATTTTGCAGTAGGCTAGAGACTGTCCTTGAGGAACTTAGGGGCCGCAATGCGATTCTATTAGGAGACTTTAATGTAATTTTCATGTCGAATGATTCAAAATGCATAAACCTATGCGAGCTATTCCGCCAATATGGATTTGTCCAAACAATTTTTACTCCGACACGCGATAAAAATTGCATCGATAATATTTTTATAAATTTCGCAACCAACGAATTTACAACGAATACAATAGAAAGCGGCCTTTCTGACCACCTAGGACAAAGTATAAAAATTAAAACTAAACCCACGGATAAAGGTGCGGAGTACACTACAACTACACATCGTCCTTTCTCTCTAACTGGATACCAAAAGTTTTTCGAATTGCTTAGTAACATCGAGTGGAAACAAGCACTTAATCAATGTGGAAGCGACCCTTTCTCGACGTTTTTTAAGGAATTTCATAATGCTTTCTTATTATGCTTTCCTATAAAGAAACTTCATCGCAGACTAGGAGACAGCAGTCCAAACTGGTTTAATGGACATTTACGAAAGTTGCGGGATAAACTTCAATTTTTCACTGATTTATACAAACAGTTTCGCACTAATAATCTGAAACAAATAAAAAGTGAGATATACAAAACCTATGTGAAAGAAATTAGGGCAGCAAAAATTAAGGCCAACGACTTATACGTAAAAAACTCAGGTAACAAACCAAAAGCAATGTGGTCCCTTATAAACTCCCACAGAGTAATCGGCAGCAACAAAGCAACTATGATAACTGCGGACAACTTCGTAAACTTTTTTTCGAACACTGCAGTTAAGCCCATCAATAGTCATCTAACCTGCAGCACTGATCCTTTAAGATTCAATACCACATCTGCAAGCTCAAAACAACAATTTCAATTTGCCAATGTATCACAAATCGAAATTCGTGATGCTATCCGCAAAATTAGAATTAGCAAATGCAGAGATATATATGGACTAAACGCAAAATTTCTTAAAACCAACATCAACCTGATAGTACCACCCTTAACGATAGCAGTGAACTCCATGATAAGCTCCGGAGTCTTTCCTGATCTCCTTAAAGCTGCTGTGAGGATTCCTATCCACAAAAAAAGGGGAGGTAGAAGATATGAATAATTACAGACCCATTTCCATACTACCAACCTTTTCAAAGGTCGTAGAAAACATACTGTATACACAAATGGTAGCTTTTTTCGAGAATAATAAACTCTTATACGAAAGACAATTTGGGCTCAGAAAAGGACGTGGAACATCAAACGCCATCATAGAGTTCACGCAATCTACGCTGCAGGGATTTGAAAATGGTGTACACTCTGTTGCCTCCTTCATTGACATGTCCAAAGCATTTGATAGTGTGAAGTGAATCACACAATATTAACGAATAAACTAAGGCATTTCTATAATTTCAGTCCGAACAGCTGTTCGCTAATAGCAACAGAACGCAGTGTGTATTATACAACAATACTATATCTAAGAGTACCGACATAACCAATGGAGTGCCGCAGGGATCGATCCTGGGACCGCTACTGTTCCTTGCCTACATAAATGACCTGCCATCTTGTCTACCAAAAAATGTCACGTGTATACTATATGCCGACGACGTAACAGTTCTGACTTCTGATAGGGATCTCAGGACCGCTGTAACAACCTCTAAATAGCACGGTTCACTTAATTAACGAATGGTGCCAAAGTAATCAACTACGTGTTAACTGTGATAAGACCGCGTCAATGCATTTCACCTTAAAAACTGCGTGTGACCATGTACCATTTAATTTTGTTTCAAGTGCAAAGTTTTTGGGCTGCGTTGTAGATAGGACGCTGAGCTTTAAAGAACACTGTGCTACCATTTGTAAAAAATTGTGCAACGGAATTTTTCTCATGCGTAAGCTTGTGAACAATGCTTCTCTAAATATTGTTAAAACTGCCTACCACTGTCTGATCCAAACTACACTACAATACGCAATTACGGTGTGGGGCCACTGTTGTTCGTGGCCAAAAATTTTCAAATTACAACGCAGGGCTATACGAGTAATTCATGGACTAAGTTTCAGAGAAGATTGTCGTGATTCTTTTGTCGAGTTAAATATTCTAACTTTCCCTTGTTTATTTATTCTCGAAGCGGTTTGCTACATTAAGAAAAATGTAATCAATTTTTCTCTAAGTAGCGATAACCATCAGTATGAAACTCGCTTCAGAGCGAACATCTACACCCACTTCTGTCGTCTGCGAACAACCCAAAACGGTGCTGTCTGGCAGTCTCAGCACCTGTACAACTGCATCCCGGAAGCCGTCAGGAAACTCCCAATGCGAAGATTCAAAGAGGTAGTACAGTCTTTTTTACTCAAAAAGGCTTTCTACTCCCTCGACGAATTTACAACGAGCACCAGTAAAGGACACTTTCAGCTCTGAACTCACTCGTGCACACTTTTTAATATGTATTGTGCTATATGTTTGCTCGAACTGTTTGTGGTAGTATGTATGTTTTTGTATTAGTAATGTCTTATACCTATATCTTTTTTTACAATGACCAATGTAAGTGCTCCGCACATTAACATGATAAATATATTATTATTATTATTATTATTATTATCATAGGGGGCAATACCGCCATACCCATTGTAAAAAGAATTCCTTGTATTAGGTTCGTCGTACTAGGAGCAACATCTATTGGCCAACAGTACGAACTGCGGGAAGAAGTTTTAAATCGCTAACTGTAGGTATACGTTCACATGTGATAGTGCAATATTGTTTTTTCAAAGGTTGCTTATAGTTTTTACGATTCAAAAAATAGAACGTAAGTACTACAAATATAATGTTATTGAAGGGTTAGAGGATTTTTTCTGTTAATTGAGATGTGTAGATGTGACGGGTGTGTCAGAAAATACAAATTGAATGTGTGGTTGGGTTAGGAATTTTTTTAACGTGTCAACGACCCGATGGGATAATACCGCCATAAACGAATGGGGTAAAATCGCCATGGCGGTATTTCCTCCGACCGATTCTATATCATAAAAAATATTAATTTCAAACAGATTTACTTGGAGAAACTCCATTTGAAGATATTTAAAACGTACCTAATTAAGAATTGAATGATTCCGCTTTAATAAAAAATCAATTTATTCTGTATCATAAAAGATCCTTGTCCTTTTCAGTACCGCAATGCCAAGAACTAGGAAAAGAAAGTCGGAAAGAGCGAAATGGTCTACAGACCAATTACAAAAAGCAATCGCGGCAGTTAATTCTGGACAATCAGTAAAAAAAGTATCAGAAATTATGGAAATTCCGCGAACAACATTAAGAAATTACCTAAAATTGGAAATAAACGACAAAGAAAATTTAGGAAGAAAGCCAATTTTCACCCAAGAAATGGAACGTGAAATAGCAGAATATGTTTTGTCAATGGCAAAACGGTTTTACGGTATTACAGCTGTGGAATTGCGTCGACTTGCGTTCCAATATGCCGAGAAAAATGAAATCCAGCACCGATTTAATACAGAAACGAAAATAGCAGGCTTCGATTGGCTTCAAGGTTTCTTAAAAAGAAATCCTAAGATTACTTTACGAAAACCCGAGGCGACTAGTTTGAGCAGGATTGAGGGATTTAATAAAGATGATGTAAAATTATTTTTTCAAAATCTTGAGGCGGTCATGACAAAATTTAAATTTGGAGCGTCACGGATATATAATTGTGACGAGACAGGGATAACAACGGTTCAAAAACCTGGAATGATACTTGGACCTAAGGGCCAAAAACAAGTTGGTGTCGCAGTAAGTTTGGAAAGAGGAAAGAACGTCACTGTGCACTGCGCGTTTAGTGCCTCTGGCAACTATATCCCACCGTTGTTTATATACCCACGGAAAAGAATTAGTCCACAGTTAAGTTCTGGAGGACCAGACGGTGCCATCTATAAATGTTCAGATAATGGGTGGATCAATGAAGATATTTTTTATTCATGGTTGGATCATTTCAAAAAGCACACCAAACCGACTGAAGATGATCAAGTTCTTTTAGTCATGGACAACCATTGCAGCCATAAATCGTTAAGAATTTATGACTTCTGCAAACAGAATTTCATAACTGTCGTCACAATTCTCCCTCATACTTCCCACCGCCTCCAGCCGCTAGACGTTGCTTTTTACAGTCCCCTAAAATCTGCATTCAATAGAGAATGCGATCTGTTTATGAAAGCAAACCAACAGGCAAAAATTACGCCTTACGATCTGGCGTCGCTTTTTAATAAAGCGTACCAGCGCATCGCCACAATAGAAAAAGCTGCTTCCGGTTTTAGAGCGACAGAGATCTTCCCGCTGGATCCAGAAAGATTCACTGACGAGGATTTTGCGCCAGCTGTACACAATACCATTGAAATTCCCAATGTTATTGAAAACGAAAATGATGTTTCATTTGACTCTCAGAATGGGGATCAAAATGCCAATCAATTCGAGCGGAATATTCTAGATGAACCTTCGACGTCGACTGGTATTACGTCACAGAATAAAGAGAAGACAAGGATTGAGATGGCAACAAGACAACTACTATTTCCGGGCGATTTTTCCACAACGTCTAAATCAGCAATGAATTCTGCGAGTGATTCAAATGCTAGCCCAACTTGTAGCAAAGAGAGCAAAATTAAACATCATTTTGGTGATATTATACCACAATCTCAACCTACGATTAGCAAACCAACCAATAGAAGAAAACAGCACTCTCAAATAATGACCAGCACCCCAATGAAAGCGGTATTTGAAGAACAGGAGAAGAAGAGGACACAAAATGCCCAGAAAGGGGGAAAAATGGAAATGGTAAAAAAATTAAAGCAGTACAAATAGCTAAAAAAAAAGAACACTACAAGAAAAAAATCTGGAAGAAATAATATCACATTGGAATCATCAACAGATGAGTCAGTTGAAGGTAAACTTGTCGACGATGATGAGCTAGACGACTTGGACCCTTCTGCAATTGATTATGGTGAAACCGGCATTAAAGACATTTGTATTATTTGTTGCAGTGAAGGAAAGGACAAAGAAATATGGTATAGGTGCACAGCATGTGGCAAGTGGGCACATGCTGATTGTAGTGGATGGGACAGTGCAAAAGACTATGTGTGTGACTATTGCCAGTAGTAAGTGCGTTGATGTTGATTTACGAATTTTTGTAATATTTTTTGTTGCATTTTTCCTTATTATTTAACCACAATAACTATTTTTAAAATTTGAATAAAAAGTACGTAAATATCTATGATTTATTCTTTTATTTGGCATAATTATTATCAATTTTTATGTTATTGACAAAACCGAAAGTATAATTTGAGTATTTACACAATCAAACACAATAAACTTGCATTTTGGGCTTATGACGGTATTACCCCATGTCCATGGCGCTATTACCCAAATGTTTGGATAATATCGCCATGTACAGTGTTTTTTAAAAAAATGCCTAAAATACCTAAACAGAAAATAAATTGTTATTTTGGATAACTTGCTATTATTTCTGATAGACGTAAAGTTGATTAAAGGCATGATGAAAGGAATTAAGAAAAATCTGTATTCAATTACTTTTTGTGGTCATTTTTACTTATCGTGGCGGTATTCCCCCACCTTCCCCTACTTTGAAATATTTTTAGCGATTCTTTATACCTTCTGATTATTGTCGCGTATACTGCGACTCTTTCTTACTACAACAAATCCTTTGCGAAAATATATGATCAATAATATATCATGAAACACGTTATGGTAGCTACACACCTGTTAATTGTACCTGTCGCAGGTGACCGGTCAAATGTACCTGTCGAAAACCTCTCGATCCACACCTACAGGTCCACCGTCCGTCTCAGTTGGTTAAAAATGTTTGAAAACGGGTCAACCTACCGTGGAGTGTGGACAACTGAAAAGTCAACTCAGGTTCCTAGCATACATACTATGAAGAAATGCACCTGCGACCTGTCGTCTTTCACGGCAAGCGTCGGGTCCACTTCACAGTTACGAAAACTGACAGTTTTTGCTCATCCTTATTCCCTCCCGTCGACTTAACAAGTCACCTGTGACAGGTAGAATCGGAAGGTTCGCCTGTAGGTGTGTACCTACTAGTGATGTGGATTGTAAAATAACGATTTGTAAGTTACATAAAAAACGGTTATATTACGCGTAACTTACAAGAGGTCGATTTTTTTATGTAATTTTAGTCTTTTATGAAATTTACGTAACTTACGTTTTTTATTTAAAAAACATAAACAATTGGTAATTTTACACGTAATATTACGCACTTTAAAAAAAACGTGTAATTTAACATCACTATTTCTAGTCCTAAACTTTTGATTGAGAAGTAAGATCGAAAAAGTACGAATTGTGCAGTGCAGTGCAGTGTACAGCCTTTTTTTGAGGCCCTCAAAAAAAATTGTCTCAGATCGACCCGGAAAAAAATTTTTCTTATAGAGTGTGGCCTGTAGAATCAGAACTAGTTCAAAAGTTGCAGCCCTTTGAATTTTCTTTCGAAATTGGTTTCTATAGTAATGTGAATTGTAAAATAACGATTTGTAAGTTACATAAAAACGGTTATATTACGCGTACTTACAAGAGGTCGGTTTTTTATGTAATTTATGTCTTTTATGAAATTTACGTAACTTACGTTTTTTATTAAAACCGTAATTTTTGTAAGTTACATAAATGTAATACCTATAAGATACATTTTGATCGGTACTACAACAAACCATCAACGGTACTACCAACGTAAACGATTCACCGTTGAATCTAGTTTGGTTTAATGAAGATGATACACCATCTAATTAACGATCTGGAACTTTTTCCTCCAAACGACGCGTGATGGCGAAATACCTACTGCTTGGGTAGTTTATTTAATACATCAAAATATATAATTTAACAAGTGTTTTTGTTTTCAAACACACAAAATTCAAAAATGTTTATGGAATATTAAAAAAAATATAAAAAACATAAATGACAGGTAATAACATAAACAATTGGTAATTTTACACGTAATATTACGCACTTTTAAAAAAAACGTGTAATTTAACATCACTAGTACCTACCTCTGGGTGTAAATGTGTAATGCGAAGCATCTTTAAAAGTAACCACATTTCTTAGCTCAATAGTTGAGTATAAAATTTACATTTACCGACATCATATCTCAATTTCGCGTTTGTGCATTGTACTTACTACCTAATAATATGAAATATGCGCGATGTAATCAATAATTTGATTTCAATAATTATGTCTAAAAAGCGAATTAGAGAAGAACTTCAGTTAATTGATTGAATAAAACGCCCTCGCATCTTAAATTCAATATTTATTATCTGGTTCGAAATAAGTTCTATAACGTACATAAACCCATGAGTAGCATATTACAATATTTCAAATATTTAGTAGTGTATGCGCTTGGGTAGATTTTGTGGGATCGGTATGATTTGTTGTTTTCAAATGTTATTGCTTCCTATGATTGCGTCGTACACGAGTAAGCCTCTCGCGGACGCCGTTTCCATAATACAGCGCTGCGCCAGTTTTCCACTATTTATGTATATATGTGTAATACATTCTTAACCTAAACGATTCTTATTCTTATACAACCGAGAATATGAATCTCAAGACATAATGCCGCGCTGTTTTTCTTGAATGCTTCTCTATTTTCAATGTGCTCCCTTTCGAAAGGAACGCTTACGTGTACACTTTGATCATTTAACAAGGAGACGTCGGAAGAGGTTTTAATAACATATATATCATTAATTAGAGTGATCTTTTCTTTAAGATTAGGTACACAACCCACGACACGAATACGTCAGTCAGTCAGTTTGTTTTTTAAGTCACTTACCTACTTCATTATTTAACAATCAATAGTTTCTGTTTGTATACTAATAGTCACTCCATCTCCATCCAATTTCCATAGAAAGAATTGCATTGACAATAAAATGGAATGGAAGTTTTCTCTTCAGTTTAATTTAACAGAAGTGTGAAACTAAATCACGTCCTTGAGGTGACCTTTATGGTTGATTCTCACTTGCGCTGCACTCAGCTCGGCGACACGACGCGATGCGGCGATGCCGCGCTGCAAAATGGGGGATGGCTATAGCATGTGCAAAACCAAATTTTGAACCTGATGTTAGTTTTGCTTTTATGTGTATATGTATGAAATTTCATATAGTTGCTTCCATAAACAAGAAAGTTGGCACTGCACATCATGCACAAAACCAAATTTGGAAACTGGCGCTACATTTGCTTTTATTCCAAGTGACTATGTATCAAATTTCATGTAAATACCTTCATAAATAAGAAAGTTTGCAATTCGGTTTATAAATGGTTGAGATGCAAAGAGGGCACTGTGAATGCTGATCGATTAGGCTCAACTTTTGGAATTGCGTTTTATATGCCTAATGCTATGCGCATATTGAATTTCATGCAAATCGGTTCATAACTAACGGAGATGTCAAAAGGGCCTTCTTTATTTTTTGGCCTACATTGCCAATTCACGAACTCCGATCTACAAATTTGATAAAGAATTCACCTTCAAAATTTCATCGTAATCGGTTCATTCGTTTACGCGATACCGTGCTAACGGACAAACGGACAGACACCGAAAAATTATAAACTCGCTAGGAGCTCGTTAATAAGGAACAATTCCGTTGAACGTCTTTACAGTAGTGAACTTGATTTATTTTTATATATGAGAAAATGCATCGGATAAGGCACTTTAGGGGAGAGTATAAAATAAAGAAAATAAGTTGGAAAAGGCAACCTTTCCAAGCCGTATAATTATCTCGATAAAAGCTAAATGAGACCAAGTTCAGAAACGCTCACGCACCTGATGGCTAGATATGGTCAATATCAATTTTCTGTAATTGAATTATGCCATCTTAAAGGGTCGAATTAGGAAAGGGGTTGTAGATCATTGACTGTACACGGGGACTATACTTTAACGTATAATTAGAATTTCATATTCAACTGCTAACGCGCTTTCTAATTATCTACCCATTTACCTACTTGTGAGATGAAAGACGTGTATGTTAAAAAGGCTCCAGTTCGATCTAACGTGGGATAATATTTCGCCGATTACATATTCATAGCGTTCTTATTGTGGCGAAGGATGTACCTATAACAGAAGCAGTAAATTGAGTTCCAGGTCCTAATGCTGAACCCCGTAGGTATAAGTAGCAAGTAATACATTTAGCCTATACAGCTAATTGTTGCACAGCATATAGCGGTAATAAGACTCGCTATGGCTCTTAGACGGTCTGAATCGCTCTTTGTGAGCTTCGGACATTATTATTGAAGGCTAATGGATTTTAAGAAGGGTTGACAGCCTTCCTTCGTGGCGCGAAGCGAAGGAGTTGTCTCCGTACTTCATTTTAAATATAAGTAGCACTATTACTTTTTAGTATTTGCGCGTTTTGCGTACTCTTAATACTATATTTTAAAATTCTGGGAATGATTACTGGGCCATTCTTAAGTCAAACAAGAGATTCACAATCGCGAGCAATGTTACAGTGAACTAGGAAAAGCTTTATTCAATTAAAATGCGACTTTCCACTACATTTCTCTTAACCATTTACCTAGCTACAGAGTAGTACATGTTTTGTGAAATACTTATCAAGCACAACTCAAAAATGAGATCTTTTATAGCTCTTCCATTCACTCGGAAGGTTAGTAGGACACGTCTAGCTTTCAAGCTAGGATAAACTACAAAAAAATGTTTCAAAGCCCACTCGTGGGTGTAACACAACTGTAAATGATGAGACAGATATACAGACAGACAGACGACGGAAAATCGAGCTCGTAAGCGTCACCTCAACTTCGTTTTGAGCCGTTTGCTTTAACTTTTTCATTAT